CCCCAAAACCCCAAAACCCCAAAACCCCAAAACCCCGAGGAGCTGCATACATATTAGAATCAAATTTTTTATTTATTATTTTAACTTTTCATCTTTAATGATTACTCCACTCTCGATTGTCACTATTCTATCTCATTTTTGCAATGTGCTAAGTCTGTGTGCAATTACTATTGATGCTCATTTCTTGGTCACCTCATCCAAGGCGCTCTGTACTTCTTTCTGAGACTCTTCATCCAAAGCAGAAGTGGCTTCATCTAATATAAGAACTTTGGGGTTTCCAATGATGGCTCTTGCAATAGCTATTCTTTGCTTCTGACCTCCTGACAAATAAGATCCTCTTGAACCACAAAGAGCTTTATATCCTTTATCTAAGTTGTCTAGTCTGTTATCTTGAGATTCTTCATCAAAGACCACTAATTCACTGGTGGTATCCTTTGCCCTTTCAACGATAAAATCATGGCAATAAGCTGTTTTAGATGCACTTTCTATTTCTTCAGATGTTGCATGAGGCTTCCCATAGCAAATATTTTCCATGATTGTTGTGTTAAACAGAATTGGTTCTTGCTGAACAAAACCAAAGTGAGCTCTGAGTGAGTCGAGTGTGAAATCACCAATCCTTCTACCTCCAATGGATATATATCCACTTTGAGGTTCATAAAATCGCATTAAGAGAGAAGCAACTGTGCTTTTACCACATCCAGATTCTCCTGCAAATCCAATTCTTTCATCCTGATTAATTTTTAAATTAAAATTTTCAAGAACCCAGTTGGATCTCTTTGAGCCAGGGTATTTAAACCATACATTATGAAATTCAATTTCATAAGTCGTAATTTCTTCATTTAAAATAGCTGTGCCATTAATGATAGGACTTCCTGGCTCACCTTCCTTGACATATTCTTTAATTGCTGCTACCTTTCTAACAGCTAGGAAAGCTCTTCCAAAATCTGGAGGATTATTCATTATATAGATAGCTGAAAGAAATGAAATAGAGTATCCTAGAATGGACAGCTCCTGGTCTTCAACAGAATGACCTGCAATCAGATTATGAGCACATATAAGGGATATGAAAGTAAATCAGAGGATGTAACATGAAAACCCAAATGCATACACTATGGCTGGGATAACTGCTTCATATAAGTTTGCATCTTCTTTATCTTTAAAATACCTATCTGTCATAAATTCTTCATTTGCTAATGATGAAACAGTAGCATAGTTTAAAATATAATCCGATATCATTTTATCTTGATTGTTAATGATCCCATAATTCTCACTTTGAAAACTGAATTGAAGAGCCAATGTTGTTCCAAAAGATAGAAAAGTAACTGGAGTTATAAAACACATAATTAACCCAATATTCCATTCAAAGATAAAACAAAAGACGATTCCAGTGATCATTCCTGTTAAACCTTGGAGCATAAAGACATAAGTCTCAATCGCGGCGCCATTAAACTCTTTTACAGTCGAAGTCAGAATAGATGTCAAATTCCCAGTACTATGAGAGACTGTATCAAAAAACTGAAGAGGCTGCTTGATAATGTTATCGTAGACTGATTTTCTCACATTTTGAGCTAAGTTAGTGTTCAGCCAATGCAACACTACTTTGGAAATAAACTGTGTAATTCATGCTACCATCCCAATTCCAAATATTGTTGATATATAAATTGCCATATCATTCTTGACCTCTGTGCCAGATGGATTTGATATGAACGTCATCAAAAGCTTTGCCAGAGGATATATGAATATTATAAAACATACAGGGCAAATAATTGCGCCAAGGATAATTATTATTATGCCCCATCGAGGGGTCGCATACTTTAGAGTCTCATTAAAAGCAAATGAGAGTGTATTTGTATTTGAGGATAGATTTTCTTCTGATGCTAAATTAGTTGATTCATAATCTGAGAATTTTAGTGGAATTTCTTCTGAAAGCTGATTATCTCCATGTTCAATATTTTTAGTTTCTTCTCCTTCTTCTAGAAAAGCGATATCTTTAAATTTAAGAGTGTTTATTTCTTTTGTCCTACTGGCATTATCTTGAATCCTCTTCATTTTTGCATAGACCTGGTTTATTCTAAGTAATTCTTCATGATTTCCTTGTTCTACAATCTTTCCATCTTCAAGAACAAGGATTATGTCTGCATTCTTTATAGTTGTCAGTCTGTGAGCAATCACCAATTTAGTGATGGAGTCTCCTTCAATTGATTCAATGGTTTTTAGAACTTCCTTCTCATTCTGAATGTCAAGAGCACTCGTTGCTTCATCAAAGATCAGAAGCTGAGGGTTCATGATGAGTGCTCTGGCAATGGCAATTTTTGTTTTTGACCACCAGAAAGTTGGCATCCAATTGCCCCAACAGAGTGGTCTATGCCTTTCTCAAGTTTTTGAACAAACTCCCAAGCGTGAGCCTTGTTGAGAGCCCTGATAATGTCATCTTCAGTTGCATCTGGGTAGGAATTGAGCATGTTCTCTCTGATGGTTTCATTGAACAAACAAGGTTCCTGTCCAACATACCCAACTAGATGTCTGTATTTTCTCAAATTGACTGACTTCAAATCTTGCTGATCGATGAGAATAGTTCCATTACTCGGGTCATAGAACCTCTCAAGAAGTCTGGCAATAGTAGATTTTCCTGATCCAGAAGATCCAACTAAAGCTATAGTTTGGCCCTTATTAATTGTAAATGATACTCCATTCAAAGAATTCTTTTTAGCAATAGGGTACTTAAACTCAACTTCATTGAATCTGATGCTTTGTAATATTTCTTTGATCTCTATATTTGATTCATTATCTCAATTTATTTCTGGTACTCTATTAATTATTTCAAACACCTTAAATGCTGCTTCAAGTCCTTTATCTAGAAGAGCAATATTTCTGACAGAATGTCCTAAGAAATATACTCCACTAATGAATCACGTTCAGACGAAAATATCTCCTCCTGTATAAGATTCTCCTGAAAAAGAATTATGGACCTAGATATGAATAAGAGATATTTACTTTCTCTGAAATAAAAAAACCTCCAATTAAAAAGGAATATCCAAATCAGACATATGGAATTGTCTCTAACCAGGCAAAGGCTCCTGCATATCGCCATGCTATTGACATGATGTCGTTTCTCTTCTTTTCAAGATGAGAGTTAAAATCTTTTGATCAACATTTTTCTTGTCTAAAGGCCTTAACCACTCAGATCGCATTGATAGTCTCTTCTGCTTGAATACCTCCTCAGATATAAGCTCTCTCTGTTATATTTTGAACTTTGCTCAATGTGGATTGAACCATTCTCGATAATGGACTCATATATAATAAAAGCCCTCATATAGTGAAGAAATAAAGCCAAGAAGTTGCAAATGTTGCACCTCATCCAAAAAGGAAAGACCCAACACTAAATATTACAAACCCAATAATTCTTCCTCATCCTATTTCAATATCTTTGAGATTACTTTGTACTATAGAAGGAATGCTTTCAATGATCTGTCCATCGAACCAAGTACTGTCTTGTCTCAGAATAGCTTTAATGTATCTCCATCTAGAGAATTATACTGTTTAGAATTACTTAAGTTCATAGGTTATCTTCTTACCAATCAAGGTGAAACAGGTGTAATGGATAAAGTTGACAATAAAGGATGCCCCGGCAGTCCCAGCAAAAATCCATGCATAAGTAATCACTTTATCTAAAATTAGAATGAGCAATAAGGTTAGGATCTGCAAGGAATACTAAAACATACTTGCATAAATTTACTAATTTTATCATCATTCTACTGATTTAATTTGAAAGAATAAAAATTATTTTGCCAAAATTCCTCCATGTTTAATATCTTCTGTTTAGTAAAGAACAAAGAATTTTAATAACTTTAAAGGTAACATTTCTAGGACCATTTATTTAGAATTTTCCAAACTTAGTCAAGCACATTGCCGGAAGTAATATATTAAAACATGGTGGTTACCTAAACTATTTGATTGACAATTAGATTCTTTAAAATTAATTACTTACCATGAACATATTCCATATCGTCTCTATCAAATTTGTCAATTAGCATTTGTCTTATGAGTGATGATGCTGGATAGGCAAATCCTAAATGCAAGTTATAGAAAAATATGACTGGATTTTCAAAATGTTAATAGTAAATAATCTGACTTTTAGACATTTTGATTTGATACTCTAGAAAGTTACTTGTATTTAACTTGAGTATATTGTTGAAAATATTTACTTAAAATTAATTTTAACAACAATTAAAACTTGAATCCAAATCTATTTGGCCTTCACTTCTGTTTTATTGAGTAATGGAGAGCTCAATTTATGTTTATTCAATATCCTTATCAAAGCGGGATATTTCTAAGTCTTTAATAATAAAAATTAATTCCATAAAACATAATTTTTAATAAAAAGCAGGGAGAATGGTACTTTACAAATTATCCTAATGATATTCGAGTTAAAATTACTTTCCAATATACTGAAATCATTCTTAATAAATATTGCCCTATGTAAAAGCCTGCCAGTTCTTACTAATGTAAATATATTAAATCATAATTATTCCAAAAGTACTTTTGTTAACCAAAACCTTGGCTACCTCAAAGTATTTTAAAATAAAACTAATTAGCAATTATAGAGGGGTTTTGGGGTTTTGGGGTTTTGGGG